ATAACTCAAATACACTAATACTGACAGAAAAGAAAGCACAGTTAGAATATATTCTCCCTTAATACAAAGGGGTAAATTCACCAAAGTTTTAAAAGTAAGATTGTTGAAAGGCAAAATATGCAAATCACTTTCATTTGGGTTCCCTTGTACTAGCCATAGAACAGGACGGTTGGTGAAGTTTAGAGATGGTAGCATGCTGCCCACCCCAACATTTTGGACTCTACTCCTTAACCCATGAGATTCCATGTCTTCAAACCAGATGTATCTTCAGTCATCTATAAAGAGGGCAATGGAGACTGCATATATAAACATGGATGAGGCTTGTTTTTTTTGTAACACACTTACCATTAGCCATTATAATGCCAATAGATAATGTTTTTGTGGGGAAGCACCACCCCACCTGTGCCTTTGGAGCAGCCTCCACCAGAATATTATTATAACTATAACCTGGACAAAGCATGGCAAGCATTGTGTATGTCTGTTTAGGAATTGTTAACCACAAATGTGCCAAAAAAACATTACATTACACAAATGGCAATTTAGCACAGTCATATATGTTATGACTTTAAGATGGAAGAGGTCCTTGAGAAATCCATTTTACTCTTAATCAGCATTTCAAAATATTTGGTGAAATAAGCTATAATGTAGAAGGTACTCCTATACCTGCTACAAATCCACACTGTAATACATTAACAGTTCATGTTTGAAGAGTAATAACGCAAGCTGTGTAACTGCAATAAAAATAAATAACCGGGTTTAACCCAAATATTCAAGCACCCTTAAAATCAATCTGAGGAAGGTTACTCGCTATCCTTGAAAACTCAAAGTCTCTGATATTGTGTCCCTTCATGTAAATACAACTTGTTGTATAGAAATGCAAACTACTGACCTCCATTTTGGATATCAGGACTCTGTCCCCAATGGGAGGGTAATTCACCAGTCTTTCAGACATTAGGTATCTTGTTTTTTTTGCAAGCAATTCTTCATACATTATATTTGTTAGCAATTAGTAGCACTCTTTTTGTTAGAACGTCAAAACAGGGTGAATAAGGCTTATATTGATGCTCACCAATAATTTCCTGAATGTGACCCATTAATCTCTACTACTGACACACTTACTTGAGACAGGGGAAAAAAAAGAAATGAAGCACATGAGTTAGTCACATAAACTGCAGCAGACCTGTGATCTATCGACAATTGGGGATTTTAGAAAACTGACAACTTAATCTGTTTAAACTAGAGTCTTACATCTCGTAAACATCAACATCTCAACATGTTTTCAGGCTTTGCAGAGTGGACATGAAGGTCTTCGTAGATTATTCATTAAATTCCATTATGTAACTTATGAGACAAGAGATAGTAAAAGAATGCTGATAAAATAAGAGCAATTTTAAGCTAGGAACATTGAAGGAAGAGGAATGACAAAAGAAGAACATAATAAAATCCTAGAGATTTTAATATTGCTAATGGATTTTTTGCCCTTTATTGGTCCTAGTCTGGTAATATAATGAAATAATAATACAGAAACAAAGTGTCTCATTACTTTCTGATTTTTTTAATTGATTTTCTTCATTTTATTGGTACAAGTACAAATATTAATGAACTGGTGGAGTTTTCAAATGCTAGTCGTATACATGTATTAATTAAAACAAATTGTGTGATGATAATGTAGATCGTGATGATTGATCACTCAGTTGCATAAAATGTAAGAAGAAGGTTACCTGCATTATCTCATTGAAGGTGAATTTGTGAAAACATTATTTTTAATTATATGCGTTTATTGAAACCTAAACAAATATTTTGTGTTTATTGCTTAATCCCTTAAGCACTGTGTGACGTTTAAAGACGATTAATATCCAAGAATGGCATGGAAAATCATGTCTTAAAAGTAATAACTAGTGATGTCCCGAACAGTTCGTCTAACGATTCGCGAACGGTTCGCCACGGACTCATCATTGAGTAAACTTTGACCCTGTACCTCACAGTCAGCAGACACATTCCAGCCAATCAGCAGCAGACCCTCCCTCCCAGACCCTCCCACCTCCTGGACAGCTCACTAAGAATGCAGCTTCAAAATGGATGCTGTCAAGGAGGTTGAAGAATCTGGGAAGGGTGGGAGGGTCTGCTGCTGATTGGCTGGAATGTGTCTGCTGACTGTGAGGTACAGGGTCAAAGTTTACTCAATGATGAGTCCGTGGCGAACCGTTCGTGGCGAACCGTTCGCGAACCGTTCGGGACATCACTAGTAATAACAGATATAAATCCCTGCTGGTACCTGGAAAACCTAGTACTCAACACCTGCTGCTGCCCTCTGTCAGCTGGCGCCTTTATTTATTTTCCCACACTGACCAATGAACTGTGTGCAACACTGTAAGTGAGAGCTGCTAACAGCCCTTTCAAATTAACATTCCGAACATCAAAACCCATTTCATGTTTTCAATTCAATTAAATAGTTATTGTGTCCTTAGTCCATTGGTATCTACTTACCTTTAAGTGTTAAAACATTTTTGAAATGGTTTTAGATATAAAGTGGAATCACCCAGGCGCCAGTGCAGCTTCATTACCACTGGCTGCTTTTATACACACACACAATGATTTAATTTTCAATCAGATGTAGCTGTCTTTAAAGGTTTTTATCTCTTGCTCTGTAAATTAAACTTTAATTACACACAGGAGGCTCCTGTAGGGTCTAGCAAGCTATTAACAGAGCAGGTGATAAGAAATTCTAAATTAAACAGAATCTGTAATAAAGGAAGTTTAAACATTAGATGACTCTTTAAAGGAAGTTTTTAGGAAGGCTGTGTAAGTCACATGCAGGGAGGTGTGACTAGGGCTGCATAAACAAAGTGATTTAACTCCTAAATGGCAGAGAATTGAGCAGTGAGACTGCAGGGGCATGATCTATACACCAAAACTGCTTCATTAAGCTAAAGTTGTTTTGGTCACTCTAGTGTTCCTTTAAAAGGCACCAAAATGTTTCTTTGAATCACCGCAGCTGAATGGACTCCCAGATTCCGAGATTTCCTTAGAGAGAGAGACATTGTAGTATAATACATTTTTAATCAGGCCTCCCTGCAAGCCACCAGTAAAAATAGATCAATGCTGTGATTGGCAGGAACAACATGAAGATCTGAAATATTAGCTCCCTCTCGTGTTGTGATCACAAATCACAGAGTCATCACAGTGCAGTACTCCATACTGTGAAAGCAGGGGAAATCCCTCTGTTGATGTCATTAGTGACTAGTAGTGTTGGCTTAAGGTTATGATAAGTGTTAGGATTAGAATTAGCTTTAGGGAAAATGTAGAGTTAAATTGATTTAGGTTTTAGGTTGGTGTTAGTGTTAGAGTCAGTATTAGTGTTAGCTACTGTTAGTGTTAGCTTGGGTTAGATTTTATAAAGTTTAATGAAACATGTCGAAATGCTCTTGTCAAAGCTTTGCATCACTATGTCCTCCTTCAAAAACTTTAAAAATCCTATTAATCTAATACAATTAAAATCTAAAATCTAAAATCCTATTTCTTTCTTCCTTGCAAGCAATAAATTTAAAAAAGAAAAAGCAGTGGGCCCCTGTGGGTCATTTATGTAGTGTTGAATGCATGTACCATGTACTACAGGGATAGGCAACCTTCAGCACTCCGGATGTTGTGGACTACATCCCCCATATTGCTCTTACACCCATAATGCTGGCAAAGCATCATGGGAGGTGTAGTCTAAAACATCTGCAGTGCCAAAGGCTGTCTTTGCCTGTACTACACTATTCTTCAAATATTTCAATGGAGTTGGACTTTAGTAATTTTGCACAGGAGCTCAGGTCCAATTTATTTTCTCCGCTAAGTTTATATCCTGTTTTAACTGCAAAATTAACACGAACTTTGTTTAGGTTATGACTTTTTTTGCTGTAATTTTTATTGCCTTTGACTGCATGTATTGAAGCTTGTATCAAGTACTGCAAACATTCAAAAAATCCACACGGGGTTTAACTTGACCAGTATAGTGAAACAAGCCTTCAGGGAAAATAAGGAAAGTGACAGCAGTTCTATTGACTGGCTGACAAGAAAGAGATAACACTTATCATGGATTTTGATTTAGTTTAACCTCTTCATGACAAATCCTGAACTGAAATTGCATGTATTTGTAACTGAAGCCTTTTCGATACGTTTGTTGTGTTTATTCCACCATAATTTAAAACCTTCACTTTAAGTGTACCTATAGCTATTATAAATAATTTTTAAAGTACTTTTTCTAATACCCTGTATGTATATATAGCGGAATATAACATTTCAACAAAATATAAAAAAATTCAAAAAAAAAAAAAAATGCAAAGAAAACAAAATTGCACAGTGTTACCTATAATATTTTTTATACAATTAGCACAACAACAACAAGAAGAAATTACTTTAATTGACACTTTAGTCACCAAATCAACTAC